GGGAGAGGCTGCGGTCGGGATCCGCCAGGAAGGAGCCCCCGGGGGTGCTGCCTCCACTCGGTGCTCCCGGGAGATGAAAGCAGGAGGAGGAGGAGGAGAGACCTGGCAGGCGAGGCCAGGGAGAAGAGGCACCTTCCACCCCGCTGCTCGCTTGAGGACACGTTAAAGCAGCATCTCGAGAGTGGAACCACCCCAACGGGTTCTTCCCACTGGGAAGCTGCTGCATCCCGATGAAACGAGCTCCACGTTGCTGTATAAACCCAATGTATCACTTCAACCCCCCCAAAACACCACACATGGAGCACGGGAGCTTGGAATTGGGTGAGCCTGAGGGTCCCTTCCGCCCAAAGCATTCCGTAAGTTAAGTAAACGCTGTCTCAGGATGCAAACAGGGAATGTCCCGGTGGGAAAGCAAGGTCTTGGCCAACAAACACCAAGGAAACACCACAGCCTTCAGGACTCAATGGCCACCAACGAGTAGGATTTCAGCAGCATCATTCAGCACATCCACTTGTTGCTTCCAACCCAACCCATTCCACGATTCTGGAATCCATCGGCCATGGGATGGAGCCACACATGGATTCACACACGGATGCTGCTGCTCGTGGAGGATGGAGGCGATGGGCTCCTCTGCACCAACACAGCATCCCAAACCAGACCATGAGACTCACCCCCTCCAGCACCACGCTCCCGGAGACCTCGCCTGTCCCAGGAAGCTGCTCCCCCCCCCTTCCCTAAGGAATTGCAGTTAAAATAATCCAGAAGAATTCACACAATATCCTCAAATGGTGGCAAATCCCCCAGGGGAAACAAGAGCGTTCCAAAGCCTGGTGTGTATCCGCATGGATCCAGGCTGGAATTGGCTCCGGATGCAGCTCTGGAGGTGAGGAGCTGATGTTTAGGAGGCTCCCAAGGAGGAGGAGAGGGGACAATAAAGGAGCTGCAGGAGATGACAAGTGGCACCACTAAGACCCAACCAGCCCATGGGGGAGCACAAATGCTTCCCCGATGGCCAATGTGCAGCATCAAGGCCAGGATGGACACAGGGACTTGGAGCAACCTGCTCCAGTGGGAGATCCCTGCCCGCGGAGCTGGGGCAGCCTCAAGGTCCCTTCATCCCAAACCATTCCCTGATTCCATGATGAAGATGACACACGGGAAGAAGCAGCAGCAGATCCCCACATCCCACCACCCAAACCCCTTCTCCACACCCCCCCTCCTGGTTCCTAAGCCCTCTCCCTTCTGCAGCGCCTCCCTTTGGGCCACCCTATTCCCTATGTCCTGGTGCGCGGGTTCACCTTCAGCTCCCACCATCCCTATGGAGACGTGGTCAGAGCTGACCCTGCTCCAGCACGGTCACACGTCCACGGATGCACCTACCAGAGAGAATTCCTTCCCTGGGAAGCACAGGGGGAATCCATCCATGTGCATCCCAAGGGATGCTTTGCCCTGACAGAACCGAGCCCGCCACCGGCCCCAGGCGCTGCAGGACATGGGCCAGTGGCCCCAGTAAGTCCCAGTGAAGCGGATGGTCCCAGCACCAGCCTATCCTGGGCCTCGTCAGGAACGAGCCCTGCTGGGATGAGGGATTGGGAACGAGGCGGGATCCCCTTTACAAGGCAGGGAATGCACCCGGAGGGGCAGCACATCCCTTCAGGCGCAAGCCGGGACCATCCGGAGCTGTGTTAGTTCCAAACGGGATCAGTTGGGATGATGGAACAAACTCCTTTGTAACACGTGGAAGAGGCTCGGGTCCATCCCAGCGTGCTGAGCCCAGAGGTGGGTCCCGGGTTCCCTATGGATGCGCTCCTCATCCCGAGCATCCCAGCGCCATGGAATGAGCGCGTAGGGATCATGACACGGCACCGCTCCGGTGTCTCCTCTTCCACGTAGGCTTGAAGAGGAGCCAAGGGCTCGGTGGGAAGTGCATCTCGGCACAGCACACACAAAATGGCTGTCTCCCATTTCCATACAATATTCCTGACAGGATAAGGACCTAAAAAGGGAACTCCAGACTTTCCCAGCTCAGCGACCTGAGGAGAGGAGTTGTGAGAGCCCCGAGGCGAAGGCAGAGGCAGATACACCTCCTAGGACCTGCTACGTGTGCTCCTTGAATCCTGATGCTACACGTTGGAAGTTGTCAGGAATACTACAGGGAAAGCTAGAGCCCTGTGGAGGAATGTCCATGCAGGTAAAGATGGAGCGTGGAGCTTCACTCGTGCATGAGGATTTAAAGGAATACCGAGCCCTGAATCCAGCCTGAACAAAGAGGGAAGAGCTGAGAGCCCTTAAACCCAGCCGAAAAGGGGAATCAGGCACGAAGAGGGGGAAGGAAGCTTCTCCCGGCTTCCCGAGGGAAGGGGAAATAAATGGGAGACAAAGGAAGTGTTTTAGCAGAGAAGCCGGGAGGGATTCCAATGGGATGCGGAGCTCGCGGGGCTGCAGCATACCCGCAATTCCTACAGAGGCTGCAGCAACAGTTCCACTCTTCCCGCTTCCCATCCCCAGCTCCGGGATGACATCCCGCTGCCTTGCGCTGGGAAAGCCAAATGAATGGATGGAATAGCTGGGGACAGGTCCCTAAGGACACATCCCAACTTCCACAGGGGCTTGGGAAGGGAGATGTCCCCTCAGCCCGCCCTGATCCGGCCTGGAGCATCCCGGGATCTGCAGCCCCAGGTTGAGCCTGGGACAGTGTGAAGCAGCGGTGGGCAGAGGGAATGCTGCTTTCCCTCGGTCACAGAACCATGGAATGGGTTGGGATGGAGGGAGCTGAAAGCTCCTCCAGGGACACCTTCCACTGGAGCAGGTTGCTCCAACTCCCTGCGTCCAATCTGGCCTTGAACACTGCCAGGAATGGGGCAGCCACAGCTTCTCCATCCAACCCATCCCAGTGTCCCAGCACCCTCCCAGGGAAGAGCTTCTGCCTCAGAGCTCATCCCACTTCCCCCTCGGGCAGGTTAAAGCCATTCCCCCTTGGCCTGTCCCTGTATCCCTTATCCAAAGCCTCTTTCCAGGTTTCTTCCCCTCCTAAGTTTGCTTTTAGCCAAGTTCACGTATGGGATCATCCAGCACAAGGGACCTTATTCCTTACTCCATAAAACTGTGTTGGGGGAAAAGAATGAGAAAGCTGCTTTTTGCCCCTCGGTGGGGTAACCCCCCATATCTATATTTATGACACTCATATTCATATATACACATCTCCATAATCCCCACTCCTGCTCCATAAGGAATGTGCCAGCGCTTGGGAAGAGGCTGCTGGAAAACGCTCCCCTATTCACGCACTTAAACCCAATCTAACACCAGTAACAGAGGAGCGAGGAAGGGGGGGGAAGCGAAGCCTTCACCTCCACCCTCCTCCTCCTCCTCCCCTGCCCATCCCCTGGCTGTTCCAGCCGGGAATGACGCAGGCTTCCTTATATAATGCGCCGCGATTCCCTCGACTGCGGCCCTGCCTTTGTGCGCGCCGCTGGCTCCTGCGCTGGCCGCCAGAGCCACAGCCACACATATGGGGGGGGATTAAAATCCTTAATGAACTCATTAATAGCATCACATTAATAACGGGGAGGGGAGGCTGCTGCATCGGAGAATTCCCTGCATTTGCTTTGCTTTAGTACCTGAAGCGACAGCGCAGGGGTAGGAATTCCAATGGAGCGAGGTGGGAAGGGTGGGATTCGAGGGGGGGAAGCCAACAGCAAACAGAAGCTTTCCGACTCCTTAAAATAGACTTCAATCCATGGCGCTTAGTTGCCAGTGAGGAAAAGCCCAGGGGATGATCCCTCCGGAGCCTCCAACCTCCGCCGAGCATCCCAAAG